ATGTCTTGGTGTGGGTCTGTTTGGGACCGTCTGAGCCTCCTGTACTTGGATATCTGATTTTTTTCTTTAGGTTTGGGACATTTTCAGTCATGATTTCTTCAAATACCTTTTCAATCCCCTTTGTTCTTTCTTCCCCTTTTTGAACCCCTATTGGCACGCTTTGTATTATCCCATAGGTCCCTTATATTGTTTTCATTGTTTTTATTTGTTTTTCTCTCGGCTGTTCTGTTTGGGTGCTTTCTGTTGTCCTGTCTTCTAGGTCCCTTATTCGTTCCTCTACATTATCTAGCCTGCTTTGTACAGCCTTTAGGTCAGCTCTCATCTCTGCAAATGAGTTTACTAATTCTACTTGGTTCTTCTTTATAGCTTCTATTTCATTTTTGACCTATTTTATATCTCTAAACACTATTTCTTTTAGTTTCTTCAGTACTTTGATCACTCCTTTTTTGAAATCTTGATCTAGTAGGCCATCAATGTCTATTTCCTTGATCGTGCTTTCAGGGGATTTCTCTTGCTCTTTTAATTGGGAGTGGTTCCTCTGCTTCTTCAGATTGCTCATGTCTCTCTGGCACTGTGGCTTAAGGAGTATCAGTTATCTAGTTCTCCTGGAGACGGTGTGCTCTTAATGATTTTATCAAGAGGTCTTTGTGTCTTCGCCCTGTTTCGCAACTCAGCTTGCTGTTTCCAGAGGCCCTCTGTTGGCGCCCTCGTCTGTGCTGCTCCCAGTGGCAGTCGGCTAGCAGACTGCACCCCCTCCTAACACTGGGTCAGAAGCTGAGCTCTTACCCGGTGGGCGGGTGTGTCACTCCCCCTCCCAATGCAGCAGTCAGATGCTGCGCTCGGGGCGGGGGTGGGGAGGAGGCAGATGGGCGGATCACACCCCCTCCTAGCACCTTGGTCAGTAGCTGTGTGCCTGCCAGGAAGGCGGATGGCCACCCGCCCTCTCCTGGCACCCATCGCTCCGCTGCTCTGTGCACCTGCCCGCTCCACCTCGGGTCGGTGCTCCGAAGGCGGGCTCAGGGAAGACCATGGAACAGCCCTGACCCTGCTCCGTGCCAAATCTCAGCTCCCTGTTTGTCTTGGTGGTGCAAGTTCTCTGAGGTGCCAGGGCAGAAAGATCCTATCTGCCTCAGTCCTCCCTAGGAGGTTGCAGAGCCCCTGGGTGCGAATTCAGGTGTCAGCCCTGCCCCCGCCTAGGCGCTGCACACAGGAGGAGATGGCGGCTGTGGCTGCGCCCTACCTCTCTTCTCACGAGATGCGCCAGTAATGGCGGCACAGGTCTGAGGAGACAAAGGCTACGATGCCCCTCCCCCCAGGGCACACCAGCCGTGTTGCTTTGCTTTTTTCATAATTTATGGGAGACCGAGGTTGTTCTGCTCCGTATCCCCTCCCAGCCACAGCATGCAGCACCCTGCAGTCCCCCAGGGCTGCCTCAGTGCAGCCGCCCTAGTCCTCTGCCCGGCTCAGGCGGCCTGTCCCGGCCCCAGCTGCTGGCTCGCGTCTCGGGCTGGGTGTCACAGGGACCCTTTGTGCCCGTTTAACTCAGTTCTGTCGGTCATGGGGTGCTCGGGGCAGATCTGAGCCTCAGAGGCTCCCCTTCCGTCCTGCTGGCCTCTCCGTTGGAGGGGGGCGACCCAGTGAAATAGCGCCAGTCCTTCTTTGCCGCTCCCACCCTGCGGGACTGGTCCCACACTGTTTTGCTTTTTCTTCTTTTTCTTTTTCCTTTTCTCCTACCAGATTTTTGGCGTCTTTGTCTTTCGAAGAGGGTGATGTTCTGTCGGAGTTTGGCAGGTGCTCTGGTTGGCTGAGTGGGTCCGTAGATGTGAGTTTTGGTGTATTTGTGGGAGAGGGTGAGCTACGAGCGTCCTTCTACTCCACCATCTTGCTTCTCTTTCCTGAAAAATTCTTAATTTGAACTAATAGGAACCTCTGTGGTGTGGTTCCTTCTTCCCTCTTCTGATTCATCTCAAAGCACTCTCCCCTTTGTGCTCCAGACACATTGGTTGCCTTTCAACTTCTTGATTGTGCTATGTTTTCTCTTGATTCACAGCTTTTGTATGTACTCCTGGTCTCTGCCTGAAAGAGTCTCTGCTTCCTTCTTCTTGCAGCTAAACCCTAATCCTTTTGGCTTTGGTCTGATAGCCTTTCCGAATCACCAGACTAGAAGGAGAGCCCCCTCCTCTGCACCCATACTAGCACCCCTTCCTTTCCTTCTGCTTCCATGCCACTTACCCAGCTTGAGGTGGAGGGTATGAAGGAAGGGCTTGGGGAATGAATGTTCAGAGTAGCTGTTATGGCAGTGGGCAAAAGGATTAACTGGAGAGAAGCAACAAAATTACTCATCATCATCATGTGCCCAGCTGTATAGGGGGCCCCAATATTGGTATAGAGACTAGCAGCATGGTTAGTTTATGGCATTTTCTTCAGCAGCATTCCACAACCGTGGAGCAGAAATAAAAGTGACAGTTGGATTGATCTAAACTCATGGTGATTTTTATCTCCTTAGGGGACACATGGCAGTGTCTGGAGATATCTTTGATTGTCACAACTGTCGAGGCAGGGTATTCTATGAGCATTTAGTAGGTAGAGGCCAAGGATGCTGCTAAACATCCCACAATGCATGGGACAAACCCATATGATCAAGAATTATCTGGCCTCAATTGTCTGTAATGCCAAGGTTGAGAGACACTAATCAAATCAGTGACCTGAGGAAAAAAGAAAATAGATTGTGTTGGGATGTAGGGGTCCAATATACCAAAATCTCCTTCCCCTTGAGAAGATGGTGTGTATCATGAGATCTCATGCTGGATTGCTGCTCCACACAATGCCTCACACGACTGGCTCTCAACTTCACAGACCACCAAGGGCTTAGTGATTTATTCTCAGAGTATCTATTTCCTAATGTTTTGTGTGGGACCACAGAGACCATAAAGAGTGTGAAAACATCAATGGATCAGAGTGAATTCAATGCAAAATTTGAAGGGATAATTGCAATTAAGTTAATACTTGTCTGTTTAAAAATAGATCCATGAATGTAACACTCTCTCTTTTTTTCATTTTAGATATAGGCCTTATGTATACTTTTGGAGATGGTCGACACGGAAAATTAGGACTTGGACTGGAAAATTTTACCAATCAATTTGTTCCTACTTTGTGTTCTAACTTTTTGAGGTTTATAATTCAGTTGGTAAGGGTATTACATTTCACTATGTACATTTTCATATTCCTATGTTTAAGTCTTTCAGTATTTCATAGAAAATATGTACTTTTATGTTAGTATGCAATAATAAATATACTTGTTTCCTGAAAGCCCAAAGTCAGACATCATGCCACTCTGAAAAATCTGTTCCTTTCCTAACATTCCTCCTTTAACATCTTCCTTTTTGCCCTAATCTTGACTCTTCTACTTTGTTCTCATATGTCTCTTAAGAGACTGTTCCATGCCTGGAGACTTTGTGTTTCTGTAGCTCCCAGCAGAGTGCCTCACTCATAGTGGCTGACTATAAATATTTGTTGAATTAGATATCGCTTAGACTCTCAAATCCTGCACAGGCGAAAATCTGATAATAAATGAAGAGTTTTGAAAATACATTTTATTGGCTAAGTGTTATTTGGATAAGGTGGTGGTTCAGTGTCATCCCCATCAGGCACTATATCTCTGTTGTTGCTAACACTTTGGCCAGTTAAGAACTATAGGCTTGAAAATTCTGTTTACTTAGTGATAATAATATCACTTGAAATTTGTTCTTCAAAGGCTCAGAGCCTCATGCTATGGGACACTTCCATCCCTTGATTTGACACGTTTAATGAATGCCTGCTCGATATATGATACTGGACTGAGGATGAGGAATACAAAGCATACAGTGATGAACAAAGTGACCAGATTCTCATTCACTAAGCCTATAATCTTATGGGGAAGATCAATCTTTAAAGTGCTACACAAAAAAAATATCAATTTTAACTTTGAAAATACTATGATGGAAGGATTCAGAGTATGCTATTCTGTGCCACCTTGTAGAACACTATAAAGATGCTAAAAATCTGTATTGCAAATACTACACAATATTTTTTAAGCATTTTATCAAAAATGTTATTTTTCAAAATCCTTTGAATGCTGATTTCAGTTTTCATTGTTTCATCATTGTGTATGCTTACATTTTGCTCTCAGGACTTTAAAGTTTTAAACTTAAACTTCATGTAAAGAGAAAGACTTGGAGACATAATTATCCCAGGAGACTGATTTATTCTTGGATCACTTATTTCCAAGTAGAACTTCTCTGAGTAATTTTTTCAAGTTGTTAATGTTGTTCCCAGATTAAAATAACGTCTTCTAATGTATAAGGAGAAATACAATATGCTAAATAGTTTTTTCTCTATATTATATATTAAATTGAAAGTAAAATGGTATGTTAAAGTATTCTAATTTTCAGTAATAGTATTTAAAGAACATATATTGTATTTCTCATGCGTGTGTATGTGTGTGAAGAAAGAGATTCACGTGGTCAGTCAGTCAGTATACTGGTAAGTTAATGTTTTGTAGCTGAAAACTGTTAAAAACCCATTTGTGTCTGAAGCCAATGTTGATTAATTTATCTGTGAATTGATTTCTGCAGGTTGCTTGTGGTGGATGTCACATGCTAGTTTTTGCCACTCCACGACTTGATATGTTAGAAGACAATGATTCAGATGAAATGAATGATTGTTACTTACCTTCATCTACATTTTTGCCCATCAGCGATCTGACCTCAGGAACTGTCTTGAATAGATCTTTATCAGCACGTATGCGTCGAAGAGAGCGGGTACAGCTGTGGCCTCTTCTATGTAATAGTATCGTCTAGCCCTGCAAAACCCTGGAAAACAACAAATTCACTTTCTTTTTAAACCGAAGAAGGGTTTTCTTAGATCAATTTACTAAACAAGATTATTAGAATTGAGGGCTTACAAACTTTTACAGTGAATTCAGAATTAAGCTGTTAAACACACAAACTAGAAAACTGGAATTATCATGAATATTTTTTTCTTATAAACAGTGGTACTTACCACTGTCTTACCACCTCAGATTGAGTGCTGAGTTGTTTTCTCAACTACACGTGAATTGACTTCTACTGTGCTTTTATTTTTTGAAGAAAATACCTCATGAGCAGTGGAAGCTTATATACTATAAATAATGAAATGTGGAAAACAAAGAAATAAGGACTTTAGTTTGAGAGAGGGAGTGTTCTTTCTCAGTTATATTTGGAGATTCTCTTCCTGTGCTTTAAAATTATTATTTCAATGATACTTATATTTTAAAAATACCAAATAATTTTAAAGGAAACATTCCTTTAAAAAATTACTGTAAGTTCCAAAATGTATTCCTTTTGAGGTAAAAAGGTTGAGTTTGGCTTTTTACTATGGAAAAGTATATATGGAAAGATTGAGAAATATCCCATAAGTTTTTTTGTAGTTGTTGCTTGTTTGCATCTTACGAGTAATCTTTTGTTACTCAGGGAAGGCAGAGAAAACACATACACATTTTTCCCCTTTTTGTGAAAAATAGACTTCCAAATTGACAATTTAGAGCAACTTAGATACAGAAGCAACAGGACAGAACATTTTTGAGCCCTTGGAGATTATTAAGAAGTGAATGTTGTGGGACACTGACCAATTTTGAAGTCTGTCTCTTAAATATTTTTAGCAACTTTAGGGTAGTTTATGTCAATATTAAATATATAACATCATCTAACAGTTTATTGAACCTATTTATTTTAAAGGAAAAATCTCCAGACTCTATTCGAATGCCAAGAACACTACCTCCAACTGAAGGGACTCTGGTACCACCCACTTGTTTTTCACCTCGTTCAGTTCCTTTCTGTGTGTCTGAAAGTGATCTGCTGGAGAAAATTATGCCTGAAAAGGAGGGCTCCATGCAGCCACTGGAACCAGGTAACATCTGAAGCTCTGCCATCTCTCAGAAAAAAATGTACCATTTGTTTCTATTGTTTTCATGTTTATCTTAAGATGTTTTCTCCAATTAAATTGTTTTCCTCCTAGTTAGGGACTGACACCCCTCATTTGAACTCCAATCCAGGAATACTCTAACTAATAGAAAGCATCTTCAGTGATCCTAAAAATCTCATGTAGCAGCAGCAGCATCCCTTCATAGAGCAGTGTATAGCATACCTATTACCTTCTCTTATGTTATCTCCTTCAAACCCAGAAGCAACTTCATGAAATAGGTGGGAGTTCTTGTCTTCATTTTTATAGATGAGAAAAGCAAGGCTTGAAGAGATTGAGTGACTTGCCCAAGGTCACTCAGTTTGTAAATGAATTGAACAGGATTTGAATGCAAGTCTTCTGGACCTGTGTGGAGTTCTGCATTTAGGCAATATAGCATCATGTTAAGAGTGTGGGGTGTGGAGTTACACTGATCTGCAACCAGACCAGCTCTGACATTTATTAACTATGAGACCAACTTTGGGAAAGTTTCTTAATTTCTCTAAGCCTCAGTTTCCGTATCTTTGAAATGAGTTTAAATAATACCTGCTTTACAGAGTATTGGTGACAGTTAAATGAGATAAACCATATAAAATACTTAGCGTTGAGCCTAGCGTCTCTAGAAACCTCTTAATAAACATAGTCTTGGTTATTAACACCTCTGCCTCACTGCCTATTAGATAGATTTCATGTTTTAAATTGTAATTCCACCTCTTTAGCTATTATACAGTTTCTTCCAAATAATTTGGTTTATAGAAATTTGTGTATCTTAGGAGTGTGTTTATGTTACTGCAGGGAAGATACCTGGATGATAGGGGCAGGACAAGAAGCCAGGGAATCAGGGTAAGCAGTAGGTTTGGAAATAAGATGGTGATCTGAGCATCTGGGATTAAGAATCGTGGCACAGATAATTTTTAGTATCTTAGGGATCAGGAACCTAGACAAAAGATGGAGGTAACAAAGGACCAGAAACTCAGGCAAGAGTTGTGGGCCATGGAAATGGAATATTATCTACAACTAGGACATTGTTAATAAGCTGGATTTCCTGCATTTCACCCACAACTTTTGTATGTTTCCTTTTGAGATAAGAATGACTGGCACTCTTCAGCTCTGTACATGGGAAAAATAGATTCTGACAACAGTGTGTATAGGGAAAAGAGAAGTTTATAGTTTAGAGTAAGTTGTTTCCCACTTCAAGAGATCTGAATGTGAAGATAGACAGGATTTTGTAGCTTTGGAGCAAAAGGAAAAGCCATCCCTTATCTTTTTGTGACTGTTTGCTAACACTGACTTAATAAAAAAGTATTTTGAAAGTTGTATCCAACATATAAGGTGACTTTTTCTAAATTATTTGCAGACTAGTGGAGGGAAGGAGATCAGGGAAGACATAGCTGAGAAGGTGACATTAAAGCTAAAACATAAAGGACAAGAAAGCCACACAAAGAGAAAGGATGTATATATTCCAAGCAAAGAAAATAATGTAGGTAAAGGTTTAGAGGCAGTTTATAAGAGAAAGAAGACCATTGACTCTATAGAGTGAGAGAAAAGGCAGGACAAGATGATGTTGGAAAAAGAATGTTCATTGTTTTACAGACCATGAGAAGCCTATTTGATTTGGGTGTTTTTCTTAAGTGCAATAGAAAGTCATTAAAGGGTGTTAAACATGGAATGATGTCCTCCAATCCAATTTAAATTTTAAGATGATCACTTTTGCCTGTGTGTGGATGTAGGCACACCAGACTAAAGGTAGGAAGAAACCTTAAGAGCCTGTTACCAGAGATGATGGTGTGTGGACCTAAGGTATTTGCAATGGAAATAGAAGGAGACAAATTTGAAATACATTTTAGACATAGAACCAACTGAACTTGCTAAACTTGTTAACAGATTACACAAAAATGTGTAGGCAGGAGGATGGTTGATTAGTTTGAGGAAAAAAATTACAAATTGAGCTTGATACAAGTGTGACACATCCAAGCAGAAATATCAAGCAGGCAATTGAAAATGAAAGTATAATCTTCAGAAGAGAGGTCTGGACTAGAGATAGAAATTTGGAAACCATCAACATAGAGATAGTATTTGTAATCCATGGAAGGTGATGAAATCACTTATTAGAGAATAACATAGGAAGAAAAGAGGGCCCAGGATTTTGTCCTGAGACTTAGATGGTAGGAGAGGAAGAGCCAGCAAAGCCACCTTCCTCATCCTTGTCAGACAGTAGGATAGGAGGAGGGAAGTGAGGAGAGTAAGGTCATGAATTCAAAGTACTGCTCAAAAGTTAAGGAAAAGAGAGTTCAAAGAAGCATCCTATGGATTTGGCATCATGTAGATTTTTGGTGACCCTGATAAGAGTAGTTCCAGGGAAGATCAGGAGAGAAGGCAGAGTGTTAAACGTTGAGACATGAATGGGAATTGAGGAAGTGAAGAGGAGGTAGGGTGTGTAGATAGTTCTTTTGCCTAGTTTGCTCATAAAAAAGAGCAAAGAAATGGGCTGGCAGGTAGAAGGAGATGCGAGGTCAATGGACAATATTAGAGCATATTTGTGTGCTAACGGACATGAGTCAGTAGTCCCAGAGATTGGTAGCATGTGAGAGGGAGGGTGTAACCAAAGGTGCAAAGCTCTTGAGAAGACGGGAGGAGCTGGCCTACAGTGAAGTCTTTATTAAGAGGAAAGACACGTTCTACATTTTAATACGAAAATGTAGGTAAATGTGCACGTTTGTTGGTGAGAAGATAAGGCAGATCAGGTCCGATGATTTCTATTTTCTCAGTCAAGTATAAGGCATGACCATGAGCTTAAATGATCTACTGTCCATTTTCCAAACCTTCTTTCTCTGCCATCTCTAATCTATTCTGCTTAGTACTTTCTATGTTAATCTCCTTCAGGTGCAGTTCAGTTCCCATCTGCTCCAGTGTCTTCAGAGGATTCCTAATATTTTTTAAAATAAGTGTGAATTTTCCCATATAACTCTCACTTTCTCTTCTAGCTTCATCTCTCAGTAGCCTTTTTCTTATAACTTAATTCTTAATTTAGGTTACAAGTCTGCACACTGGGCCATAGTCCAAATCTAGCCAGCCACTGGTTTTTATAAAGTTTATTGGAACCCATTCATGCCCATTCATTTGTGTATTGTCTGGCTACTTTCACACTACCATGGCAGAGTTTGCATAATTAGGACAGAGACTATACGGCCACAAAGCCTAAAATGTTTACTGTCTGGCCTTTTACAGAAAAAGTTTGCCAACCCCTGATTTTGATCAAACTGAGCTCTTCATAGTCAGACTTAGTGGAAAGGCTGTGAAGTCAAGGCAGACTTGAGATTGACACTTAACACCAAAAGAGTCACTGAACCTTAATTTATTCGTTTGTGAAATGGGGATATAACATTTACCTCTCTTGCTGTCATGGAGTTAACCTGATGTGTATAAAAGCCTATGTTCCAAGCACATGGTAAGCCTCCAATACAAGCCATTCCATGTCTTCTGTTAGCACCAGGCTTATTTTCTTCTCCATCTACCTCCATCTCTGCCTCTCAGAGTTCTACTTATCATTCCCTTTAACTCCTAAGTGAAACATTCCCTGATTCCAACTTTCAGATGTGATTTCTCATTCCCCTATATCTTATATTTTGTATTCCCTTCTAGACTATAAGTTCATTAAGAATTAGTAGTTACTTCAGTTGATATCACCTACATAATACCTCACATGGGATAAAGACAAACTGATTATTTGCTCATTTGAATTGAATGAATTTACAAGGGACAGATCAGTGTAGACTGGCATTTTTAGTGAAGACTTCATTAAGGAGCTCCTCTCAAATAAATATATGGGTGCTAAATGGAGGTATAGTAATTGAGAAAAATGTAAGGCCAAGTAATGCTTATAACTTTTAATTATCTGCTTTATGATATAATAACCTAGAAGTTTTCTGTGAGATTTTCTAGGTCCTTGTACTAGTTTTCTGTTGCTACATAACAAAATACCCTAAAACTTAGGTTACAACAACAAACATTTACTATCTCACACAGTTTCCAAGGGTCGGGAGTCTAGGAGCAATCTAGCTGAGTGATTTGGTCTCAGGGTGTTTTGTATACTTATACTCACACTGTCAGTTGAGGCTACAGTCATCTGAAGGTTCGACTGGGGCTGGAGGATCCTCTTCCAAGCTCACTCACATGGCCGTTGGCAGGACACCTCACTTCCTCAGCACATGGGCTTCTCCCTGGGGATGCTCACAGCATGGCTTCCCCCAGAGCCAGTGATCCAAGAAAGTGAGACAGAAGGTGGACAGTGGGGATCAAGACGTAAGGCACAGTAACATCACAATTACGTCCACTTTATTTTATTGGCCATACAGACTAATCTGGTACAATGTGAAGGGAACTACACAAGTGTATGCATAGCAGGAAGAAGTGGGTCGTTGGGGATCTTTTTGGGGACTGGCGTCAATGTGCTTGATACCTGGGCAGTATTTATCCCAAAGGAATAGTGTTTGCCTGTTCATACGAATGAAGCAGTTATCAGCATCAAAGTCTTTAAATTTTCCAAAAGAGACTTTAAAACCTGTTTTCACTGTGAATGGATTCTGTTCAATTCCTTTAATATGCGATTAAAGGACCTCAGTAAAATTATAACTGTACTTTTATATTACAGAATAATTTCTGTTTATTGTCTAGTTATCTTTTACTTTTCTTTTGAAATCTGGTTTTCTTTCTCTTTTAATCATTCAGATTATTTTCAATATAAAATGACCAAAGAGAAAGAGACAGACAATTTTTCATCAGTGGATTCAGAAAGCCTTGGAGAAACTACTGATGTCTTAAATATGGTAATGATTTTCCTATTTATATGATCTAGATACAAGATTGAATTTTAGTTCTTCATGTATTTGTATGTGTATGTCTGTGTATGTGTGTACTTCCTGAGCCGTTAGATGCATAGAAAAAAGCTTTTTGTTTTGGTTTTGATTTCATTCATTGTTTTAAAATCAGTTTTATTGAGGTATAGGTTACATATAATAAAATTCATTTCAGGGAGGGGAGGATATAGCTCAAGTGGTAGAGTGTGTGCCTAGCATGCACAAGGTCCTAGGTTCAATCCCCAGTACCTCCTCTAACAATAAAAAATAAATGAACCTAATTACTTCACCCTCCAAAAAAAAATTTAAAAATAAAATTTAAAGTTAATGTAAAGAACTTAGGTAGCGTCAAGTGAAAACAATGGAAATCTTCATATCATGTTTCCTATGTAGCCAAGTAGGTAATCAAACATGTGTCCCAGTGACTTTAGGAATCTAAGGTATTTTCAAATCAATGATTTTGTACACTCCTGGGTCATAGAATGTCAATTTGGCTGATCAGGTAAAATACTATGTCCCTTCATAGTATTTACTAATAAATAAAATCAATCAATCAATCAATCGTTTCAGCCCTCACATTATTAATATGCAATTGAGAGTTGATTGTATTACCATCTGAACTGTTTAGTATTAATTTTATTTATGTAGATTTTAATGTATAAATATATAATCATATATAGTCTTTATTCTTTTTAGAACATATTTTTTTAATTTATTTCAGACACATATGATGAGCCTGAATTCCAATGAAAAAACATTAAAATTATCGCCAATTCAAAAACAAAAGGTATAATATAGAATAGAATTATTTTCTCTATGGTGGGTAAGAACAGTTTAAATTATTTATATTTTTCTTGAAAGATTTCTGGAAAGAACACAAGAAAGGTAAGCATTCACTTTAGGATTTAAAAGCGAGGGGTACAATATATATAGCCTCACTTTGGGCTTACTCTGTTGGTATGTATTTTCTGTGATACAACAAGAGTGGCAGAATTTCACTGCTGAAATCTGCCCTTTGGAATCACTAACAAGTGACAATAGCCTTACCTTGTTATTATCAAGACAAAAGATTTTTATTGCAGTTCTTATGTATTGGAAGAGGCTACTGTTTATCAGAGTGCCTCTCACATTTTGGTCAAGTATGACTTTGGGTGAGTTACCTTGCTGACTTTGCAGGATGATAGTAACATCTTTTCTAGCTCTAAAATTTTGTGGGTTTAGTTAAAATATTTGGTAATAGCTTTTACAATGTTTGGAATGGGCTTTAATTTATCAAGGAGTTGGTAACATGATTAAACATTTGGAAATTAGTCAGAAACTATGCATGGGTGATAAAGAGAGACTTTTAATGAATAACAAATGAATAGCAAGAAGAAAGAATAGTCTGGTTTTCACAACCCTGGAGAGATAAAGGCCTGCCCTAAAATCATTTGCTTTTCCTGGCTTTAAGGACCAGTGAAGTGAGAAGATGAAGGGTTGGGGATTAGAAAAATAAATTGGAGAAATGTAAATTGAAGGACGAAGGCTACAGAAAACACTTAATTTCTATTTCTCATGCCTTTGCCACATTGTTAAGCAAAAAAATCCTTAAAATCAAAGTCACTGAAATGCAAGAGAATCTTGCTAAATTATAAAAATTTGCTGCCAGTCCTCATTAGTCTTATCTATATTTTACTGAGAGGCATGCTGAATAACAGCATTCCTTTTGAATATGGGAGAGTCGTTCTCCAGACACAGTTGTGGAAGCTCAGTGAATGTTGACTGATTTATTGACTGACTGTACTTCCAAGCAGACGTCTTTTGTGTGTCTTTCCTTCCTCTTAAGACTCTGGGCTCTGCCTCTTCTGTGCTGCTTTATTGTGCAAAGGAAATAAAGGCACATACGTTTAGAAATCATTTCTGGCAACTTGGCCTCTGTCTCTCTTAGGGCTCTTGAAAGAATCGTGACTTTTTAAAGAAGAGATCTAGAACAAGCAGAAAAGGAAGCACTTCCTTTTAGACTAATATATGTTTTATGCTTCAAATAGTCCTTTGAAGTAGAGGCCCTACCAGGTCTAGTTTAGTCAATAAAAAAAGATTTATTATAGTAATTCTATATATTAACTTTTAACTCGTGCCGTTTTAAGAATCTGTTTAGCAAAAAGATGACCTCTTCCTAGGCCTAGCACTCATCACAATTTATAAAACTTGATTTAGTGAGGTTTTACTATCTAGAGACCCAAATTCATTTACTATTTTAATTTATTAGCTTGTAGAATTTAGGTCAACAGTTTGATTTTTGCCTAATTTTGTCCATCAGGAAATTAATTTTATATTCTTAACGTATCATTAAAATCTCAATGTTTCATTTCAGAAGTTTTTTTATTAGTTTATAAAGTTTTTAATAAAATCTTATATTTTACCATAAGTATTTTTATAGTGTTTTTTATATATGCAGATTATAATTAAAGAATATAATAGATAAAAGGAAGAGGGTCAAAACTTTGAAAACTCAAAGATTTTGTTTTGAAAAGAAAAATATATTCATTATTTACTATATTGATAAAAGAACATTTCACTTGTAGTTTTCATTTCAGATGTCTTTCTTCTAGAAAAAGCTATTCATTATTTTAAGTTTCTTAAAATTTCATATTTTCATTTATTTTTTTAAATTTTGTGTATTTCACACAATCAAAATTTGACAATTAAAACATTAGAGAAGACAGAAAAGCATATATTTTTGAGCAGTATTTTGCTCAAATTATTATTTGCTCAAAGTATTATTGCAAAATCAGTCTGGAAATATATTTAATTGATTCAGATTAAGAAAAGGGGCAGAGAATAAATATTGATGATACTGTGAGTAATGACAAAATTAAGGTAGATAGCAGATTTGAAAGTGAAACACAGATACATGTTACTAAATCAAAATTAGGTGCTCTACAGACTTAGAGAGTGGCATAAATTATCCTCAGGAAAAACAAGATCTGAGAAAATGTCTAGTAAAACTGAGCATTTTTATTCTAGTGAAACTTACAATAATGCAAAATCTTGGCAGTATTTTATAATAGATAAGTTACTTTGTCAATTAATAGTAGTATGACGATGACTTCAAAAAATTTACAGAAACAAGAAACAATTGAGAAACTGAAGCAGCATACAGCTCAGACTGAAAATGATGATAGTAATGAGTATGAAAGTGAAGAGATGTCCCAAAAAATGAAAGAAGGGAAAACATATAAACAACTTTTGGCAAAAGGAATGTACGCGATGCAAGCACCTGTGACCGTGGAAGCATTTTCAGATGAGGACGTAGGTAATGACTCGGGCCAGCACAGCCGTCCAGCCAACACCAGTGCAGAGGGTTTGCAAAAAGGGATATTTAGACGTGAAAGTAAGCATGGTGTCTATCCACTTAATAGTAAGGAAATAGAAAAAGAAAGTGATGGAGGACACAGTCAGAAGGATTCAGAAGCAGAAGAAATAGACTCTAAGAAGGAAAGTGATCTGGTGAAAATGACAGGTCCTTATATAAGAAAAAGTGAAGAGAATAGAAAAAATATTGACATGTTTGACAACTTACCAAATAGAGATATGAATATTGAGGATGAAGAAAATAAAAATTTTGTTAAGGAAAGTAAAAGGAACGAGCAAGATGTGCTCTTTGACGGTGAAAGAGGATCTACAGAGGAGCCAGATAGTTACTTGGAAGGTGACAGTGCAAGTCAGCAGGGTACAGCTGATGGATTCGAGCAGCCTGAATCAGTAGAATTTAGCAGTGGAGAGAAGGAGGATGATGAAGTGGAGACTGATGTAAACTTATGGTATAGCAGAAAATGTATTGAACAAGGACATGAGGAAGAGATCGAACACAGAATGTCCAAATTCCTAACAAAATATGATTTTAAGTGTGACTGCTTGTCAGAGATCCCAGAGGAGCAGGAAGGAGAAGATGATTCAGAAGGAAGTGGAATAGAGGAGCAAGAGATAGAGGCAAATGAGGAGATGCCTGGAGGAAAAGAGAAGGAAGCAGAGCTCCTGTCAGATGACCTTACAAACAGAGCAGAGGTGAGTGAAGGTGAGGGAGAGCCAAGGGGAGAGGCAGAGCACCTGCCCGAAGGTGGAGGTGAGGGGATTGGGAAGGAGGGGGATTCAGGAGTGGAACGGAGACGAAGTGAGGAAGTGGAGGAGGAGAAAGACAGGGCAGAAGGAGAAATGGAGAGCCTGGGTAAGGGAGAGAAAGACCTGGAAGAGGAGGAGGAACAGGAGCCAGAGGAGAGGGAACAAGGCCATCAGGAGGAAAGAAAGAAAGGGATGGAGGAAGGGGAAGGGGGAGAGAAGGAGAGGGGAAGGAGAGGAGGAGGAAGAGGGAGGAGAAGAGAAAGAAGAGGAAGAGGAAGGGGAGGAGGAGAAGGGAGCCGGGAAAGAGGAGGGAGAAGGGGAGGAAGAGCCAGAAGGGAAGGGAGAGGAGGTGGGGG